TTTTTTTTCGTTATGTCAAATGGGTCCCGTTAGCCGCTAATCGCTTCATTTATCGCCACTAGCCCGAATTAAATGCGTCGACTGTGTTCTCAATAACGTGCTCATTAACGAGGACGAGGACGATGACGACGACGACAACTTTATCTAGCTAAACATCGAAGAACATCGAACTGTTTATGCGTGTTCAAGTCCCTGCAGTCAGTCTGAATCTAATTGACAATTGTGTATACCGAAGGTATGTGTCTCCTTGTTGTGCTGCTTGCTTGAGTTTGTCCCTCCTCTTCTCCTCGAATCTCTTCTCTTTTTTTTTTTACATTCAGTTCGCTAACGATCGCTAATATCGACTACGTGTGTATGCGTAGGTACATACATGTTATAAAGTTACCGAGCGTACGATTTTCAGCGTGGATCTTCGCTACTCTCATTTGTGTGGGGATGTCTTTTATATATATATACAGACTACACACGTACTCATAGTTTTAGAGCGTAATATATGCGGGGTGTTCCATCATTCTTGCAATTCCAACTTGTTAATATTCACACAATCTTCCTGTTCCTTTTTGTGACTAACAACTGGATATAGACATATCTCATTTTAAGGGATGTCAGAAACCATTGGTGAATCTTAAGGAGATGTTTTGGTGTTAGAACACCTTCCTTCCAAATAAAAAAATCAGTTTTGCTGGATCTGTGTAAAAAAACTAGGGAAAAAATGCATTAAACGTTAAAGCAGAAATATAAGTTTTATCCATAAGAGCTAAACGTGATATTAAGAAAAATATCAAACCAAGTAATTTTGCTGAAACATTCCCCATTATCGACGTCAGAAAGTATAGTTAAAAAAAGATCTGATAATATCTTCTTAATAGAAACATCACAAATTTGATACTGTTACTGATACATTCTATCAGATTAATTAAATACATATTCAGAAGCAATTAAAAAATAAGACTTTATGTGTTTATATGTGATTCTCAAAGAATCTTTTTGTGTATAATATTGCCGCAATGAAATCATTCCTTAAATCTTCAACTTATCAAATAGTCGATTATTAAAGACTGACACGAGTTAAATGGAACACCCCGCATATCCCTGTATATCCTTAATTTTTAGAGACTAACACAACCGTTATCATCCTGCAGTTTGGACATAGAGAAGCACGAATGTTCTATTGTTAGAACGCGTAGTAACTCTTCGTTTTTACTTCCAAGCGGTGAAATAACATCGGTTGTGTGTTCAAACTGCGAAGTATTTTTATAACGCTAGTTCATTGTAACGCATCCGCAAATCGGATATGTACGGATATGGATGGTGGCATATTTCTCTCAGGATCTAAGTTTCGTCACGCTGTTAATGTAAAAGCTGTATCTTCTGTTATTGAAAAATACAATGTGCCGAAAATTGCATAATCATGATAGTTAATTCAACGATTTCTTGAAAGAGTCTCACGGAGGTGTCCTATAAACGTGCGCTGGCCGAAATACGCTCATACATATATACAACAGGAAACGTCGTTCGTTACAATTGGGATTTCTTTTTCTAGTCTCATTTGCTACGTTCAGTGGCGGATTGGAACATGTCGGGGCTCTGAACGTTGCTCCAAACAACGCATAACTCATAAATTCTCTAACATTCTCTTACACAACAAGTCATATAATATAAAATCACACATTATTTAAAAAAAGACCATAGGAGCAATTTAAATGTCTGATATTTAAACACTACGAGTATCAATCAATCGTATAATTTATTTCAATTGTTTTCTGTAAGATCGCAAAAACATTTACCGCGCCTAATGAGTAATCCGCCACTGGGTACATTTTAGTTTACTTCTACAGAGGCAGTACCGCGTGTTTCTTTGAAATACTCTAGATAATCTGTATCTGCCGCGCACTCCTACATCCGATATAGAAGACGCTTTGCGGAAGAAGAAAAGCGAAATCTCACTCTCAGATGATAGCGAGAAGCGTCATTCGCGCATTGACATACGATATATGATATCAATAGGTGTGCAAGAAGACTTGGCACACTATCACGCACATAAATATAACTATCAATTAGCAAACATTATCCGTAGTAGTTCCCTAGGCGTGTAAATTAAATCTTACGGATATCTTTTTTATCACCTCCTGGTTTGCAAAGTTCACAGTACGAGATGCTGAAACAATATAGACCTATCGAACTCGTCTCGGTGGCGTTGGCCGACCGGAAGATCACGCACACATATATTATCGGTTCTGCTTATGTGTTACGGCTCGACCGCGAATGACAAACGACAACGAAAGACACGCAAGAAGTGCGAACGACGAAAACGAAGAAAAATAAAAAATCAACGAAAAGCTCGTTTCCCAGAAATACTTAATGTTTTATTTTCGTTACAGTGCACATTGACATCTTAATTTCTTTTTTTTTTTTTTCACATTAAGGCGAGGATCATGAGTAATTCTTTTCCCTTCATTTGGCTTATCGTTATCGTCACCTGCTGTCGGATGCAGCACGTACTTCGCTCTTTCTCGCACACAGATGCTATTATCCTGACCGCGCATTTCGAATCCGTCTGTTCCTCGAGCAACGTTCCCGCAATCGCACGCAATCGCTTCGCGGATCAAGGAAGCGAAAATATCTTTATCTCGAGGTATGTTTTGTGTTTATGTATATATATATATATGTATATATGGTGTACATGACGACGTCGCGTATGCAACCACGTGGTACCGTCGAAGCGACTCGATAAATCATCTAGGAGCGCAACTGCTTTTTTCTTTTTTTTCTTTTCACTTAATATCACATGATTACGCCTAGTGTCTAATTTACGCTCTAAGCAACTCTAATCGTACGCAACGTGTTATTATGTGTCGCATTTGAAGTGTACAAATTCGAGACTGCTACCCTAGTGAAGCCGGTAGTGCTGCACGTTGACTTGATACTTTGTTTGTGCTTCGTCGACATCGTGGGATCGAGAGAACCAATCCCGATAGATTATAGGATTTCGCTACATGCACGCGAAAAATGGACTCTATGCTCACTCGTGTTGAGTTTTGTGAGGATCGGTAAAGTCTATATTTTTTAACGTCTACCATCACACGTCTTAACATCCGTTTCGCATCGCGTGGAAAATTAAACCCTCATCGAAACTGTGTCAGTTTCAAATTCTCATTAAGTGTCACACACTGTACTCTGCCCAGTCGGTGGCTTTAATCACGCGCTTTCTTTTCTTTTTTTTTTTATAGTGCGTCTTGTAACCAGTGCGCGAACACTTGGGTCTCGTTCTTCTGTTAGGATATCTTGGATCGACCGTTCAGTCTTTCGAACGTTTCTCCGATGGTGTACATCGGCAGAGAGGAATCTGTGTGTCACAAGTGAGAAAGAGGTAAACAGGTAAAGGTAGATAAAAAGTTTTCTGCGTGTGTTTTATTGTGCTCGCGTGTGTAAGTTGTGTTGTCGTTAGTATAATAAGCACTCTTGGTCGTCGTGTGCGGCCCTGCTGATCGGTAACCGACCAGCAGAGGAACGCCTTCGTTAAGATTACGAGGATCCCGTAATCGCATATACAAACAATACAACGCGTGGTCTCTCGTAGAATAGAAATTGTATCTAGAGTAATTATGGGGAGAAGGAGAAAGATATACGGCGGTGTCGTCGTTAGGTCTACGTGGTATAAAATATGTGATTTGTTCAAGGTGGTGAGTCAGTGACACGCGCCAAACGTGGGTCTTCTCAAACGGTTGCAACTCAGTCACAATGTTCATAACTTAATGTATTAGAAAAGTTCGTCCGATCTCGCGCAATACGACAATTGATAAAACGCTTTTGCACATTTTCCCTTCTTTTTTGCGCTTGAAGATCGCTCGCCTTGCGCGCATTACAAGATTTTGTTCTCCTCACTTTCTCTTTGCAAATAGACAATGCGCGCCAAATAGACACACACGCTAGGTTTTAACCTGGCGACGCTCGCGCGCGATAGAGATTATAAGCTCGAACAGTGTGTGATTGTGTGTATAATCGGTCGTACAAAGTTGGACTAGGTCTAAAAGAGTATCGTAACGCGAGTAGAACGCGATGATTCCTCGTCCGATGTGCTATCTAAAGTGATTGATCGTTTGCATCAGGGGATTCGTACGCTGGTAGGAAGATGGATTCACGCTCGAGATACTCGCTTCATATCCGCGAGTACACTTGGCGGAGGGAGACAAAGAGAGCGAAGCAGGCACAGGCATGTGTGTTCGTTGTGGTCACTCGTGACTCCAAAGCACATTTACTAATTTACTGACGACAAGATTCGCGAATACGCTCTGACTTAAGTCAATCCACAACATCATTGACTTCTCGTTCGACTTCACGTTCCTCTTCTAATCGTAAGGTCAGCTCGAGGTATCTCCTTTCTTTAAAACTACATTTTTTTTTCTCAGATCATGGATCATTATATTCGGTTGCGCGAGAGCACGCTTCCCGCAATCTGTGTATCAATCCTCATGTGTATGCATGTAATATGTATATACGTGTCGCGTATACGTTTCTTGGTTCTCAATAAACATCTGCATTATACATGACGAGCTACACAGCGTTCCGCAAAGAGTTCTCTCTACTTGTACCGTCAAAATCAATCATTGCAACACGATCATAATATGTATATATATGTATATATATATATTTACATTTACTATCTACATTATCTACACATCAACAAACTGTTAGTTTTAGCATCTTCATCGTATTGAATTTGTAAATTGTTTTCTTTCAAACGTTATGTGTCTCGCCTCGCATTTACCATCCATATCTTTTCCAATCATTCACACTTTCATTCTTTCATCACCACCATCATTACTATAATCATCTGCATTATCATCATCATCATCATTATCATCATCATCATTATCGTAATTATCTTTATATTGGCGTTAGATGTGTAAACTCACGACTAGTTCGAAGTAACGATTATCGTATAAAGTAATCATAATTCTTCGACTCTCGGTCAATTCACAAATAACCGCAAATCAAATTGACGAACGACATTCAATTCGCAACAACAACTCATTCAACAAAATATAAAAAAAAATAAAATAAATATGCCAACTTAAAAAAAGACAGGGGAGTCGGGGGCAATTAACGATAATCAGTAGCTACGAGATACGCAGGTAGGCATGTTGCAGCACACGCTATGATCGCATAACTTCGGGCCATGACAGTCTCTTTTACAAACGTCCGCATCCCTTTCGAGGCTGCGTCTCGTCGCTCTCACCAATCTTCAGGCAATCGTTGTCTCTTCGTGTGGACATTGACGATTCTTTTCTTCTCAGAGAATCATCCTGTCTGGCACTGGGCGAGATTTCCCCAAATGGCGATCGAGTTAATCGAGGTGTCGTGACAACAACGACACACGACTCAACTCCTCCGACAATGTCCTTAGAATCGTTAGTCTTCCTCTAATCTCTCCTGGGAGCGAAACCTTCACAAGGCTCACGAGTTCAGGTTAAATTAGGCTGCGGTGATGGCGAAGGAGTGGCGGGCTGGGGATATGAGGCCGTGTCCTATATGAATGCCCAGCATTCCAATGTTTTAACGACAAAATCTTCGCGCGGCGCCAACGGCTCGTTGCCGTATGTGCTGCAGGATTGTGTCCTGCCCTGATACAGATCACCGTCCAGCCAAAGCCCAAACTTGCCGCTAAAAAAACGAGACCACTTTCGTAAAGCTCTCATCTAGTAAGGTAGTGGCACTTTTTTTAAAAATATGAGAAAAACTTACTCTCCAGCACCGATCGCTAAGCTCTCGTTGTTGCCCTTGATGAAATACAGGTTGTCCCCGGTCCAGTTGAAACACTGGAACCTCGGCGTAAACCTAAAGAGCAGGGACTCGCCGGTACCATAAAAGTGATCGCTCACGTGCAGAGAACACGAGGTCAGTGCACCAAACACCTGTGACAGAAAAAAAGTGATTCATAAAGACTGCGACACGGTAAATCCGAGAAAAAGAGTATTCGATGTTTGTACGCTTGTTATGAACTCTGAATAAACAGTCCGAATGAACGAGTTAGCGATAAACCAGTTTGGACGTATGCGGGATATTCACGAAGTAAGCCCAACGGGCGAACACAACTTTATGAAAATCCAATGTTAATCTCTCGCTCAGACTAATTATGATAATCGCGAAACTTTCTACTTCGGATTAATCAGGTCAGTTGTCCTCGACATTTTACTAGACTGAATGCTTTCCACTTATAATTAGTTCATCTTTCTGATAATTATATATACACAGTGCCAATTGGCTCAACAATGCGCGATCTTCTAATTAAATAATTATATTTTTAATATAATTATGTACCTATATTTTTAAAGCTTCTTAATATGCGTCAGACGCGTAGAATGCTATATACAATCTGACATTGACATAATATACAACGTAAAAACTAAATGTTTGCAATCGCAGATGTAACCGTTATATTGGTCGCAGAGTTTATTTTCCGGAGTCGCACTCTTGGGTCAAATTAAAACTAATTAGCCTCCCAATCGATTACAATTTGAATTACGAAACAAGGAACTTACATTGCCCTCCGTGTCCTCGATGACCAACAAGATCGGACTCTCGACCTTCGCCATTTTTCGATACATGCTGTTGAGACTGAAGCCGTGCTGGCTGGTGCTGAAGACGAGAGTCCACTGGTAACCCTCCGCTCTCGCGGGCAGATGACGGCAGAGCTGTTCCCTGTGCTCGTCGCTGAGTATTTCCGTCGTGCCGATGAGATCAGGCACAATGACATCGTTGTCCAAAGAAATGGCACTGTTCGCGTAAAGAGCTCGCCTGAACTCTTCGCTCATAGACAGTACCTGTGAATAAGGCAATGCGTCAATTAATAACGATATCGAGCGTATTCCTCGACAATGATGACGTATATCGCGAATTCTAATTGAGGAGGTAAGAAGTAAAGTCGTCTCTACCAATAGCGATTCCATGAAAAGATGATCGTGACACAAATGGATGTGAATAATGTTCTAAACGATGCTTTATTAGTATGTATGGAAGGCACGAATGTTTGAAGACATATGCGAAGTGGAGAACTCTCTCCTAATGTTCATTAAACACAGAAACTATCTTGCAACATGCACATGATGTCTACTCTGGATATGCTGAGTAAAACATTTTTGGAGTATCCTAAAAGTCGATCAGATATTGGATCAAAGTCAGGCAAGATGTTGAAGTAACAATTGAAGTGTATTGTATAATTGAATCGTAATACAGGATAAACGTAACATGTCCTTTTTAGCAAATATAATTGATATATATGGCTACCGTGTCTTGTTATATAACAGGTATATAAAATACACGTATAAAATTAATATACATATAATTTCGTGATATCTAGTAAATAAGTTGTTATTTTAACAAATTAAGAATTACCTTCTATAAAAATATTTCAGTTTTATCCTGCCTGACTCCAAATTCCGAAGAATTCTACGTGGAATTTGCCGTATCTCTCGTGAAATTGGAAAACAAGTGCTGCTAATAGGGAAATTAATTGTTGTCGACGTCCCTTTGGCTTCTGACCTCCTCGGTTTAACTAAATCTAAGCACATTTAGGGCACTACCACATCCAAGTGTCGTGTTGTACTCCGTTAACTACGATCTCACGTAACCACAGTGGGTGTTGCGTTTATTCAAGTCAATTGCCGGATAATTATTAACGTGGGAGGCCACCGTGAAATGTGTGCTAATATTAAATTACTTTTGTTCGTCGACCGCCATCACACGGAGTCGCTTAGCTTCGCGCCACGCATGATAATGCAATACGCGCGCGAGAGAGAGAATGCAAAGCCACGCGGTGCACACTGCATATCTATACGGAGAGCAGCCGATGATAGAGAACCCGAATCGTAGAAGCTACTGTAAACGGACGGCCTTGGAATAAAATCGTGTATCGGAGCGATTGAACGCCGCGCATCGATTGTCGCGTTGAACCCGAAAGTCGATGCATAAATAATGAGTAGAGCACCGATGTCAAGTAGATGGAAATAATTTATAATAGATTCCAGTATAACTGAAGCTCGAAACAACGTAATAATTTTCTGAATTAGAATACAAATTTAAAAAATATAATCGAATTTAATAGCTACTAAGGATTTATATAAAACGATAAATATTTATTTAATAATTTGGAAATATTAAGATTAAAAATAAAAATTATTTAAAAGCGAAACAAGTATTAACATTTTTATGATAAATTTAATTACTGTTCCATTTTATCCCGATGATCCACCTGACTTTATTTATTAAAACGTAATTCACTCTATGGAATTTTTATTAAGAAGGAGGAAAATTAAGGATGCTAACAAATCGAATAAAAAATCTTCGGGAATGCAATGAAAAATTGCGTTCTCGATGTGCTGAATATATATTGCTAATCGTCATAAAATCGCGAAAAATATTATATCTTGTAGGGTAGGAATGTAGATTGCTGGTCCGTGGGCAATCCCACGCATCGTTAACACGCGACACGGTGTGTTAAATTTTTGAAGAGGTACATCATCGATCGATCCGAATAATAGAGCGACCGCGCAAGTTCGTACACCTGGGGACGATAAGTTCGATAACGATTTTCACGTACGCCTACCCTGGACACGGCACGTGTTGTTGCGACGTTTTTACAAAATTGGTATAATTTAGTAATTCTTAGTATTGATTGTGTGTATCGCTGTATATGATAACAAAATGTGCTTCTGACAGCTGTTATAGATATTGCTTAATACAGATTGGAGACATGAGTGAGGGAAATAAAACATTAACGATTATATCATATGTTTACACTGCGGATGACACACAAAGCGTATTTGGGAGATGTCTGGATATGTGTATTTTCACATTCTTTTACATTTGAAAATCTGTTGCGTGTATTGTTTATAGATATGCGTCATTTATGAAAAAAAATTTATGCGATTTACTTCTCTCGACCAACATTACGTAGTTTCTAAAATTAATTTAACTTTCTTTTTGCTCTACTGAAGGTGCATATGTGATTTTTGTTTATCTTGTAATAAACTTCGAGATGAATCGGAAAAGATTCATTACTACCATTCTGGCGTTACATATTTTAGTTAGCTGAGTATTAAATTTTCGAAGACTATCCGAATGACGTCAAAAGAATATCGAAGTTGAGTCGTAGGTTATCGTTGAAATTTTATATAAATAAAATCGCCATTTATTATATGTTCAATTCTTTTGCGATAGTGCAAAAGTGATAAAACACTTAATGCAAGAGTAATAAAACACTAAATTGGTATAATGGACTTTATTGTAAACGAACAAAAATAATGCGGTGATATTTCGGGTGGCATTGCACATCGATTACCTCTTACTGTGTGTGTTCCCGTTATTTATGTTACATATGAGTTGACTATAAAAAATTGTGCTCCAAAGATACCGTCTGTTTTGCTGCTAATGTTTTGAACATTATCAATCATTATCGAGCAAACCTGTCGTCCTTGCGTAAAAAAGAAAAAAAATCCGATAAACTTTGATCTCGCGATTGGAAAAATTTTAGCTTTTATACGAATGTTTGTTATGGGTGGCAGCTGCCTTGACTTCCTCAGATAATATTATTCGAACATTTAAGATGTCTGATGAGGAGGAAGATCAACAAGAAGATCAACAGAGCTAGAGGAGCTGAACTTTTCCTCGTTGAATTTTTGTTCTTTGCTATAAGATTATATTAATACACAAATATATTAACATAAATATATCGATATATTATAATTGACATTAATATATCGATGTTAATAATAACAAACTGTAGAGAGTCCCAAAAGCAATTTAATTTTACCTTTTATCTACAAGGCATTATTAGAACCTTCGCTAAAGTTTTTGAAAGGCAATAAACAAGTAATAAAATTTACAACAAAATTACGTAAATAGGTGCAAGTTAATGACCATGTAATTCAGATTCTCTTCGATCTGCACAAGGGAAAAAAGATCTAGAATTTGATATCCTGGACCCCACATTTATTTCTTCATGTTCCTGTACGCGGGAAGAGCAGCCAAGCGTTTATTTATACATAAAGATTGCATTATCGCGGCATGCGGGAGCCTATCGTACTTTTGACATTCGTCTCTCACACGGACGGACGGATATAAAAATGTCGTCACTGCCGGTCAATCAGTTCTTCACTGCGAAGTTTTTCAAAGCTCATTATCATTATCGACTACTTCACTGGACGCATTGCGTTAATTTTAATTTGATAGCGACACGCTGTTCCAGATGTTCCGCGCAAACAGCTCGTTAGCTAGTGCAATTATCGACTTTTTAATAAATTAACCGCGGGGGAACAATAGTGATCTTTATAAACCTTTTCCTAACTATTTATATGGAGATAAAAAGTACCACGTGACGATTCATCGTCTATTTTATAAAGATTACCCTCCGAATTCTGATATAGATTTCTATGGCTCATATTTAGATATTATATATTTTAATAAGAGCAACATCTTTAACAATTATCCATAGCTTAAAAATATATATAACAAAATATTTCGGATTTCAAGAATAATCCTTAATCAAAATCAAAATATTATAATCAAATCGATAAGCAAGCAAAATGCAAATTTGCAGAATTAATTTGAATAATTATATTGAAATCATCGATAAAGATTTAACTGATGTTTTTATCGATATAATTTTATCAATATCAAATTAGACTAATAAATTAAAACATATAACATTTAACATGTACGAATTTATCGACTTCTGTATATTAGTACTTGAAAACACAATTTCTATTTAACAGGTGAATTTTCGGAAGATAATGAAATTATGTCTACTTAGATATACAATAAAAACGGAACTAATATTAATCAAAAATAATACTGAACGAATAAAAATATTTGATAAAAATATTTGACTTATCAAGTAAAAAGTTCGTGCAGTTCTCAATTTAAAAGCCACTTCTATAAATTGCTTTTTATGTTGTAATATTTGGCAGTGCGCAAGTTTTAATCTGCATTATGACATACGTACTAACTTCAGATAATCGCTGTTGACTACTTGACTTGTTGCGTAAATTTTTCAAGTGTTGTCCACACGCGAACTGTTTTGATTACCTGATGATACATGGATATATACACACACATCGGTAAATACAAACTGTGTCAAGCGCGAACTTGGTCCTGATTAAATCCGATATTAGCAAAATGATGATAATAAATTAATAAAATCTTTATCTCGATGATTTCAATATAATATTAATACTTAGAAGAATAATTTCTTATGTTTCATATACGTATATAAAATCAAAGTGGCTTTTCAAACGAGAAAACAACTGGTTTCTTTGCAATTCTAGTTCCTATATAGTATAAGTACTATAGTTTGATTATTGTTCTACGAGTTTTTTATAAGAGTATAAAAATGAAAAGTGTGACATCTCGCGTTCTTGTCACATCGCGCAACTTAAGCCTCTTGCACAATATTGGCGATAGCGATAGCGAGTTCCCGACAAAGCTATACCTTTGTCGGCAACTTTGTCGCTGTCGCTATCGCTATCGCTATCGCCTAGCTATTGTGCAAGGGGCTTTATAATCTTAATATACGCTCCGCGACATTCGTCTGCGATTATTACGTCGAGCGATGCAATACCTAGCAATAACAACATTGAGGTGGCCACGCGCGCGCGATCTGAAATCCGAGAAATATGTACGGAATCAATCGATCTCCGCGCGGAGGTCATCGCAATAAGATAAGAAGAGCAGATTAAAAGAGTTTCGTGGAAAAACATATATAGATACACAATGTCCCAAAGATATAATAATCTTAAAAAAAAAACCTTCAGATAAGTCAAGGGTC